AGGTGCCGTCTGGGTTGAGATACGTCTTCACATCAACCATGTAGGCTCCTTTATGCTGCAGGGTGACCACATCAAAGCCCTCCCCCACCAGGTTGTGGCCTGGTACAAAGGGAGCAGACTGACACTGACTGCGGGTCCCAGTCCGACAGGAGAGAACAGGGGAGTGATACGACAGAAAGAGGAGGAGACTCAGGTAGAAAAGGGGTGGGGTTGAATAAGACAGCATGGCTGGAGCCAAAGAGACTGAAATAATTCAGAGAAAGACAAAGAGAATATGAAAGGAAATTAGTAAGTACGTTTTCAGCTGTAATTATGAATGAAATTAACAGGAACTGAACTTTTCTGTCTAAAATATCAGTTTCCAATTAAAGGGCGTTGAATCTTTTATAGTTTTAGTTTACTGTATTGATTTCTTATAATACACATTGTTCAGATTATACTGTATCTGTACTGTGCAATTATCTGTCTCTCTCTATATATATACTTTATATAGCCCATATTTCCTTCAAATTACACTTTCTGTATATTTTTGTTATTTTTGTTGTATATCTTTGCAGTTATATTTATTTTCCTCCTCTCCTCCTGAAATATTTGTGTAAATGTTCATCTATCTGTCAAGACAATATTTTTCATATGTACAGTATATATTTATTGCAATGCTTCATATGTGTATATTCAATAATCTGTGCACTCAGAAGTGCACAATTTGTTTTCTATTTCTATTATATCTTGTATTTTTCTATTTTATTTTATTTTAATGTGTATTCTTTTTATCTATTGTGTTGTGTTGTAGCTAGCACGGCTGTAACAAGCTTTTATCTTCTATCTTATCTTATCCTATTAAGGTTTTGGGAACCGTTTTAGTATATGTAACTTAGTTTTGCACATTGATGGTTTCTCGTTAAAAACTTGTATTGCCGAACACAGAAGCACAAAGTCACTAATTACTAATTATTATTAAGTTAAAATATTCGATCCCTCCTTTTACTGGGGACCCACTCAAAGGACCCCAGTTTGAAAACCACTGGTGTAGTAACTCTAAAAAACAATCAAAATCCATAATTTCAGCTCTTATCTACAGTAGTCTTATAGTAAAATTACAAAAATCCCTAAATGGTCAGTTCACACCGTCCAAAAAATAAATTCATAATAAATTAAATCAATAAATAAACTGTGAGGTGGCAGCAATCTCAGAAGGATATTTCAATATCAAATCCGTCCAAACCAAAGTCTTTTTTTGTATTTAATGTTATAGTAAAAGTTAATTAATGTGCATTATTTATTACCTGTTCAGGCCTCAACAAGGTTTCTCAGATACTTCTGCAGTGTGAGTCAGGTGAGATGGAGATGAGAGTGTGTCAGCAGAGGATGTGGTGACACTGTCAAGTCTGCAGGTAACAGCACTTTTATACATTAGGTCATGTGACGAATCTTGCAAACAGGAGTATAATTATTCTCAGATAGGAGGTAGGTCTTGAAATTCTAAACATGATTCCATGGATGCTTAAAAACATGAACCACACCTATTCAAGGAAATAGAGCTGCATAAATGACACCTTACTGTAAACATGTTCAGCAATTCCCAAAACAACAACAACGCCACACCTCTACAGGAGAGTAATTTATATTGGTAGTTGTTGAATTGTTTCATACCTGGAGAGCATGTATGGCTACTTTTGAGCCATTTAGACAACATACTTGGTCCACAAGTGCATGAAGTGTGTATTTCAGCCTGTGTTTGTGTATAAGAATAAAAAAGAGTGAAAAAATAATTTCCCCAATAGGGGATTAATAAAGTAAATATCTTCTTCATCTTCGTCTTCCTTGATTAATGATGCTTTGAGGACCATCTGAATTCCCATTATTCAAACAGAGTAGTTACACAATAAGCAAACATCAGCATGCTGCTGAGAACAGAACTAGTTTTCTGTCCTTTAAAAGTGCTGGACAAATGTACAGCATCTATTGTCACACATACCAACTATTACATATGTGAAAACCAGCTACATTTCTCCCAGGCTGGAAATTACTGATTGAAACAGTCGACAGGTTGTACGCCTCAGTCCTTGTCACACAACTAACAACTAACATTTAAATATTTGTCACACATGTTAACATCCCCAGTCGGAGCTGGCCTATGTGGCCAGGGAAAGGGAAGTTTGGGGTCCGTTGCTGGACCTGCTACCTCGCAACCTGACCCCAGATAAGCGGATGAAGACATGTTAACATCTTCCTCTGATCCACCTGAAAAAATCTGTATTTGAACACTAGTATTGTTAGATTTAGTAGATATTGGACCCAGAAAAAGACTCAGACTCAGGAAGGGAAAACAAACATAGACTCTGAAGGCACAAACATTTAGGATTACATTTTTTTAAATTTTGAATAAAATGTTCAATAAATCAATTGAAATAACATATTTGATTTTGAAATTTCATTTCAATTGAAACAGAATTGAATAAATGAGTCTGTTTGTTTATCAAATACATTTGTAAGAAAAAGCAAACAAACCTTCAGTCTTGAGTGACCAAATAAACCACAAATCAAATTATTTAGCATTTTTGCAATTAAGGTTCAGATAATAATAATAATAATAATACATTTTATTTATAAGCGCTTTTCTAAATACTCAAAGACACTTTACATAAAAAAAAAATAAAAAATAGAATAAACATAAAAGCAGCCAAACAACATCAAATAGTAAAACATTAAAAACACATCAGACTTAGCTAAACATTAAAAGCAATTTGGCCTCTGTACTTGACCTGTGATAAACTGGACTGTAGTCTCTGTAGTATCTCTTTTATTCTAGAAATGTTTATGCCTTTTTCATTTTACAAATGTTAACTTCATCTATAAATTGCATATCTTCTATTTATATTGTATTGATAATGTTATCGTTAAGTGCAGAAGAAGAATTGTTATACCACCAGTGTGTGGGATTTAGTGGCATCTAGCAGTGAAGTTGCAGATTACAACTAATTGAACCCTGTTGGCCTCTGTACTTGACCTGTAAATGAGAACAGGCTGTGAAGTGTCCAGGAGAAACAACAATGTCTGCCAAACTCACAAAAAACATGAAAGACCCCATCCACAGCCAGTGTTTGGATGGCTACTGGTGGTTCAATATGGTGGACTCCCACGGCATCTGTAGATAATTCTAAGTTAATAAAAGCACAGGAATTCCTATATTCAGGTGATTGTACGCCCATGAAAACACACCTATGAATATTATATTTAGTTTAGATATAATATAATAATGACAGATCCTCATAAAGCCCTGCAAACTGCTGCAGGCAGCTCTAAAAGTTGTTATTTCCAACAAAACCTCAGCTTTTAATTCAAAGAGGTGTTTATAACTCAGGAACTTCCTCATATTGACACCACACCTGCGGTAGAACCAAAAGGCCTCTTTAAAAGTATGTGCTGGAGAACAAAGCACCATTTATAATTCACATGTCTCCTAAACATTCCAGTGCTACATGCTGGCCACATGTCTGTCAAAAACAAAGCAGACAAACAGGTTGGTGTACGTCCTTGGCACACCACTTCAATTGGTGATGTCCCTCTACTGCTTCATGTGCAATTTATGTGCACCTGATTCCGGGGCCAGTATTGTATTGTAAACTAGGAGAGTTGTGTAACTGTATTATAAACCTTGTGTGTGTAGTCAGTAAATGTGTCAAAATGCACATTGAGATTTGTGAATTTGTACGGGAATCTGCAAATGTGTATTCATAATCTGTATGTGTGTGTAAAGGTGTAAAAATTATGTAGAGAGATTTGTTAATGTGTAGACAAATCAGTGTTTAGATTTAAGAGGTTTTGCTAATGAGAAACTACACAGTATAATACAAAATACCACTTGAAAGGGGTTTGTATTGGTTGTTGAGTCTGATATGAAGATACATTAAGTAAGTAAGTAAGTGAGTAAGTAAAGCTTTATTTATATAGCACCTTTTTGACACACCTTTTTGTACATATAAACCACTGTGTTTCTTTCTGTACATATGACAATAAACCTCTTGAATCTGGAATCTAAAACACTGAGCCGTGTATTTTTTACACACTGTATTCCCAGTTACCCCAATCGTGTGGATGAACCTCCTGGAAAGGGGAGCTCAGGTCAGTGGTCTTAATAACCGACTGTGTTGTGACAGTTTGCCCCGAGAGCTGCAGTGTCAGTGTGAGTTTTAAAAGCTGTGTGCATAGCATATGCAGGTTTTTAGCTTTCTAGTTAAATTTTCTTTTCTAATGCTAGAATAGCATATTGTACTAATTGATGCATTGTGCCATTTCTCTGATTGTTTATGCTCAGTCTCTTTCCTTTGCTCTTCAGCATGGACTGTGTATCAGACATCCTGTCTCACAGTCAGTACAGTGTTTCTTGGCTTTTCATGTTTCCATGGCTAGTGGGGAATGAGTGGGCTGTAGAGGTGTCAGAAGACTTAGTTGGTGGTCGATTGTTCTCAGCTCAAAGGGCCTCGACCTCTTGCTGGACTCTGGAGTATGGTAATGATGATGTACACGGTGGTGGCTGCTCTCATGCCTTGGCCTATTGAAAAAAAACAGTTTTCTCCATATTTCCCTTACATAAATCAACTTTGGGTCGCACCATCACTTTGCTGTCATTTTTACAGAATCAACCCACCACTAAGCCTTGCTTTAATGAGTCAGTCGTCCTTTTCAGAGGGACCCCGCTTACTCTACTTACCTGGTCTTTCCCAAACCCAAATAGTAATAATCAGTCACCATTTCACAAATCTGGAGTCACAGGACAAGTGTTTTCCCAGACACTGCTTTTTGAAATTTCTTCATGCCCTCTTCTTTAACTGCTGCTGTAGTGATCCAGCACTGGTCTCAACCCCCACGACTCTCCTTCTCTACCCATTGACCTCATTTGTGATGCACAGCCCCTGCTGTGAGCAGTTCAGAATCCCATCCTCTTCACCAGGTTGTTGTAAAAATGTCTGTAACAAAGTGAATTCAACAAAAGCAGCTCTGTCTCAGAGTATTTATTGCAATATTCAGTAAATCATTTGCAAATGAGATTCTCCATTTTCACTGCTAAGACAATACTGTAATGAAGTTCAGCAGATGTATTTCTACATGCATTGTCACACACTAACACTTGAGACACAGCTGTTCACTTCCACAATTGTTCATTCATATTTATGTATCCCAAAAATAACTCTCTACCTCTGTCTGCTTCTTCATCGTTGATAACATTTAGCACCAGGTTTGGTTATGCAGGAAATGAGTACAAAAGGGAAAACAGTATAAAATTCCATTACAGGCTTTAAAGCTGTATTTGTGAATAGTGTGGCCCCAAAATACATTTCTCACTGTGGAGATGGTTTGTAACGGTCGCACTTGTCTCCAGTCAGGTGACGGTAGCATGTTAACGTATAGCTGAATTCATAACCAGTTTTGCCTCTTGTACAGATTCTTTCATGTGTCCCCTGCTTCAGGTCTGTATCGCATGACAGCAGAAGGTCATCATATTGCAAGTCTTCGTCCCAGACTTCAGTTGTCAGTTCTTTTTTACTTAGGTCCACCTTCATAAAAAAATTTAATTAGATTCAAAATACCATCAAATGTTGAGAAATACAAATGCTGAGTTAAGATTTATTGATCAACCTGAGTAACAAGAACAATGGGCCTAAGATGGCAGTCGTTTGGGCTGCGTGCTCGCTGTGTCACACCAAAACAGTTCATTTCCCACTCTCCGCTAAAGTAAGGGTGAGTATTTAACACATTAACACTTGTGCTTGTCTTGAATCGGTCAAAAACACACGACCAGTTTGGTCAGACTGGTCATTGATGCTGTATTTGACTGCTATATTGATTTTTTCAATATATATTACGTATCAGTGTTCTGAATTTTACAGTTAATGACATTCTAAAACATATGGTTTGATATAACAAAATCATCTAATCTAGAATTGTGGACTAGTGAATAATTGGATTAGAGTTCTTTTGAGCTCATCTGTAGAAGAAGATTTACTGACCTCGCCCAGATAGAAACGCTGATTCCACCTGGGGTTGTCTGACTCGATCACCCTAGTCATTCGATTTGAGCCACAACACTTTACTCTAGCATAGCTGTGAATAGAAAAAAAACCCAACTATTAATATTGATATTTGATATACTATCTTCAGATCTCAATCCCTGACCTAATTCTACTCACCTGTCAGTAGGTTGATAGAGAGGATAATCTCCCTCCAGATTCCAGGCTCGGACCATGGTCACCGCCAGTGTTCCTTTCCTGGTCACTTTAGGACAGCAGTTGGAATACATGGCACAACTGTCGGTGGGTGTCTTTGTCTTGGCATTGTTTAGTAAGTACTGTTCTATGGCAGCCTTCATCCCTGCCTTCTGTGTCTTATCTGGCACCAGCTCATACATTGGCCTAAGACGGAATGCAACAATTTCTGGGTGGTCCTTAAGGCTATTCAGCCAATTCCTGTATCCCTCTATGTCATTATGACTGAATGAAAACTCCCCCGACCAACCAGTGCCTCCTGCCATCTCTGTGTAGTGCTGGTGAAAAGCAGAGCTGTACAGATTGGAGAAGCCCTGGTTCTGTAGGACTCTGTTGCAAGACGGTCGGTTACCAGATAACGTGAACCCCCCTACGCTTGCAGAGACACCCAGTGATAAGCAGGAGTGAACCTGGAGGACAGGAGGGAAAATAAGATGTTATTCATCATCAGTGGAAAATGGACAACATTTCAACAATACTTATAGTACCAAAGGAAAGGAAATAATGCCGTCCCACAATTTCTTGCGGCAGCAACATTTAAAGTGACATACCATTGTAGACCCATGTAAATGTAGAAACAACAGGGCACCTGTTTTATGTTTGTGACAGCAAGCATAAATCTAAAATCTTTACACTCTTGTTTTTGCAGTGTGCAGCACCACTTGGATTGACTTGCTAAATTCAATTAATTTATTAAATAACTAAATACAGGAATATTAGAATATAAACATCAAACAATAGCTTATGCAAATTAGCACATAACATACAGTATTGTTTGTTAATTTGTGCTCAACTCAACTGCAGTGCAACAAGATTTGTGTCTATGCATAAGGAGTGTGTATACAAATACAAACATACGTCTTGAACACACATGCTACATGTACCTCAGATCCACTGAGCTCAAGCAGTGAGGACAAACAGCTTCGTGTAGCTGTGATTCGCTTGAGTCGCCCACCAAGGTGAACCTAAAATGAAGTAAGATGTTGGCCAAAAAGTTATTTTTCTATTTTGTTCTACCTAAAAAATTTATAAATAAAAGTTACTACCCTGCGGATGTAGTGTGTGCCATAGGTACGTATGAGATCAATGTACTGATCCTGGGTGGAGGAGGTGTAGACACTTGGCAATCTGGCCAAATCGTTCCTGAATTCAGAGCTGATGGGCGGTTTCCTTGACACACGGTAACTAGACACAACGAGGCACAATAGTAAATTGTCTAACAGAAATGATCAGATGAAAATCTTCTGCAGTGATCTAGGGATCTTCACATCCTACCAATAATGGGTACTGGTGATGGTGTGAAGGCTGAAAAGGTAGCGGTCCTCTCTGGTCCTTGCTGAAGCAAAGTTATACACATTGGACTGTGTTCCTCCCACATCCAGGTAGACAAACTTACCGAAATTTAAGCCAAACTGATAAAATAAATAAAAAATAAAAGCTCATGAGCTGTTTGATGTTCACCATGACATAGTGCATAAGCATTTATTTATAAAAACTTTGATTTGTTCCTGTTGTGTTAGCCTTAAGGACTTACATTAGATTAGATTAATGAGCCATTAATCTATGTATCATATTTAGACAGAAAGGTACATCATTTTATTAAATCAGCCATTTTGATCTGAACCTGCAGGTATTTATATAATGTAATATGCTTGTTTAACCAAAACAAAGTCAGGGAAAAGTTGGCATTCCAACTCAAAAAAAGGGAAAATAATCCATTGTCTACATGTCTATAAGTTATAATAATAATAACCTTATGAAATGTTAATTTCATAACAACAATGGCTGTAAGATGTTTCCTACCTTCCAGTCTTTACTCTCAAGGGAGGTGTAAGTGTCAACCAATGAGCTGTGGACACAGTTTAGGAATCATCATTAAAGCTCTTTCATTTCAAATGTTGTTAAAGTTTGTGTTTACAAATTAGGCACCAATAACAAAATGGAGTGCTAAATTACAACTTCTTGTGCTGCTGTAATTAAAAGTCCAGTGTGTAACATTTAGGAGGCTCTATTGGCAGAAATAGAATATAATATTCATTGGTATGTTTTCATTAGTGTATAATAACCCGAATATAGGAATTGTTGTATTTTCGTAACCTTAGCATGAAACATTTTTATTTACAATCGCTGTGGGTCGCCTTCAATGGAGTTTGCCACATTGTACCATCATATTTCTACAGTAGCTCAGAAGGGACAAATAGATAGCCACGTTTCATGGCCAAAACAGTTTTTCCTACACATGTTGCAAACGTTAGTTTCAGTCAGTTGCAGTCTGCAACTTCACCACTAGATGCCAATAAATCCTACACACTGGTCCTTTTTTTACTCTCACTGAAGTCTGCATTAATTATTTGCTGATAGAGATCGAACAGTTGAAGCAAAAAATCTGAACAATTCAGTTCATCAGTCACAGGTCTGGGCGTGTATGTATTGTTGGGTTGATTTGAAAGTAAAAGCTCTTTCTGCCCATAGCATTCAAACAGCCCCTCCATGCAGATTCAGACAGTGCCTGCTTCCTTTTGGCAAGGTTGCCTTTAACTTCAGTAAAGACTGATGCATATACACATGTATTTACTGGCCTGTATTGAGAACCCATTCAGTTATATAATTCTGTATAATACAATACCTGACAGAGGTGTGTACACTGTTCTTAACACTGAAGAAGTTTCTCATACGCCAGTCCACCACAGAGAGTGGCACCTGAAAATGAAAGCGAGAAACACCATGGTTAACTCCATAAAGGGGAAATCCTAAACTTTGTGTTAAATATGGATATTGAGCAGTTCTTAGCTCTTTGTGTTCATCATACAATCAAACAATCAATCAAATCAAATCTCAAACAAATCAAACAAAATTAAAACATTCATAGCAACAGCAAATAATCAGAATAAAAAAATAAAACAACACAAGTCACATCACATTTGTGAGTCAAACAAGGCACCATCCTCATTCCTGTACCTCCAAAAAATATTTATTTTGTACATCTTTTCAAACTGTTAAATATCATTACTCTGCTTGCTCTTAAGATTGGTGCAAACCCAGCATTTTTTCAAATGTTTATTTTATTTTTGGCTTTGTACATTATATATTCAGTATATTAAAGGACCAGTAAGTAGGGTTCAGTGGCATCTTACACACTGGACCTTTGAATCCCACCATATCCATAAACTTCAAGGTGTCTTAAAAGACTGCATGTGAGTATGTGAACTACTACAGATACTAATACAGAGCGTGCAACACCTTATGATTCTGAATGTGCCTTGTTTTTCCTAACTGCAATGCTCATTTTGCTCGGCCATATCTTATGTGAGGCTTCCAGCAGATTCTCTGGTGTAATATCACACGCAGAAATATATTTTCATATACTCTATCTATATTAATAATATCTATCATCACTTTTACGTGTGTCTATTTTGCAATTTCCAAAACAGCATAAGTTGGTTTTGTTAAAATTTTATGATAAGTTGTTAATCAAACTCATTTCAGTCAGAAAAAACACTTCATATTCTGCACAAAATAAAAATATTAGTCTAGTCCGCAAATAAAACACATTTTAGTATGTATTACTTTCTGCAGCCTGTTGCCTTGAAGAGGGTTGGAGCAGAGTTTACAGGTGCCGTCTGGGTTGAGATACGTCTTCACATCTATCATGTAAGCTCCTTTATGCTGCAGGGTGACCATGTCAAAGCCCTCCCCCACCAGGTTGTAGCCTGGTACAAAGGGAGCAGACTGACACTGACTGCGGGTCCCAGTCTGACAGGAGAGAACAGGGGAGTGATACGACAGAAAGAGGAGGAGACTTAGGTAGAGAAGGGGTGGGGTTGAAAAGTAGGGCATGGCTGGAGTCAAACAGACTGAAATAATTCAGAGAAAGACAAAGAGAATAGATAAAGAGAGTGTCAGTATCATTTTATCTGATAATCAGTGAAGGTAACAATAACTGCAAACAGGCTCTGTGTTCCCAAGGTTGTGGGATAAAAAATATTAGTAAAAATAAAGTATCGAAATGATCTATTCACTTTATGTTACACATTAGTGTTATTACTTTTGCATTTTAATGTTTACTTTACCATAGCTACTAATAATGACCCATTCTGATTGCTGATGAGATGGAGTGAAGTGAGATCATTTGTGAGGTTCAAGATCTGCAGAAAGGTTTTAAAGAATCTTCTTCTGTAACTTGATAATCTTAAATAAGTGTGTAAACAATTAAAATTCTGAAATGAATAAACAATTGTTTTACAGTTTTCACCTTCAATTGCTTATTCATCATTATTATTAATATTTCACCTCATAAAACACAAATTGGCCTTTGTGCACACTAGCTTATGTGTGTTCTTGGGGCACAGAACAATGGAAAGTATTGATGAATGCATCAAAAGTAGTTTGAGTTTACGTCTACTGCATATCAAATTTCATACAATGTTCAACACATTCTGAAATTAAAATAGTAAAGGAAAACAGTGCTACCTAAATTGTTTGACTCACCTAAGGTCGATCCAATGACAGATGTTGTGGCTATGACCTGAAAAACAGCTATGTTGGTTGATAGTGGAGCGTTGCATCTAGACTAAATGTGTAAAAAGTTGTAAACCTTCATCACAGGATGGTGGGTGTAACTGGGATTCTATTAAATGAGTCAATCTGATCACTTTCTCCTTGTTGACATATTTTTGACATAATCAATTCCTTAGGAATCTCATGGCAAACAGAAAAGAGGGAGGGACGTCAACACCAACCACCAGGCAAATGCTGGTAAAATATAAAAGTGCCTTTACTATTACTACTTACTATAATCTACTATTGAGTGGCTGGTAAATTCTAAAACTATTCTGTGTTTTTCCATTTCTCCTGGATTCTGCAGTTGGAATTTTCTGAACAAGCTCTTGGCCCTGTACTGTGGAAACACATTAAGTGGAAACAGATTTTGTAGCTTCTTTGAGCTGTTCTATTGGAATTCCCTGAACAAGCTCTTGGCCCTGTACTGGGGAAACACATTAAGCGGAAACAGATTTTGTAACTCCATCGAGCTGTTTCCAACAATTCTGTTTTGTGATTTCTGAGATTTTCTTCTGACTTTCAAATTCTGAAGAACCCTATTGTGCTCGAGCCGGTTTAGTATTATTTGTCTGCTGCAGCGGCTCCGATTGCATTGAGCTGGATGCTAGAAAAATTAAACCTGGCCCAATAAAGGAAAATGATGCATGAGTGCTTCCCAAGAATCATGAGTCTATTCAGCCAGATGGTGGCACTGTAATGCCAATTTTAGGAAGGCCAAGCCCCTCACACAAGGTTGATTAACTTAAAATCAGACCACAAGGTCCACCATGATGGATTTTTTGCTAATTTATTAATTAATTTGTTGTAATTTTTTTTTACTGGTTTTATTTCATCAAATAAGTACAAATCT